CGGGCATAATTACAGGACATTCATTGGAACATACTGCTCGCTGTAAGTACTTGATAAGTACGTGCATTTAATCTTGATGGATATATTATCTCTGGTGACTGTCTATCTCCACGTGTGTTCCTCGCGATTATGTTTTACGCCTGTTGTATGTGTGTGAATGATTCTATTATCCAAAGTCTCTCGTTCTTTATCACAAATAATTACGTTTGTTTTTCCGTCGTGCACTGCTGAACTGGTGCAATAAGTTAGAGCGAGAAAAAATATACTTATAGCGAGAAAAAGTATATTTTTTCTCGCTCTAACTTATCGCGCCAGTTCAGCAGTGCAGGAATAGAAAACAGACCCATTGTGTCAAAGCTATTGTTTTTGATCGGTGCGAAGGACAGTATTAAGGATTTTGTTTTCATTCGGCTATTTGAGATGAGAGAAACGTGTACCGCAGTGATTTTTGTGAGAAGTCCGAGAAACGTTTTTTGAAATGACCGTGAAATATTTGTTGTACGTAGCCTGCAAAAAGTTTCCAAAAAAACTTGTCAAGAAAAGAAAGCACATACTGCACGTACACTGTATATGTACTGCCTGCACGTACATGTGTGTTGAATCATACCTAATAGTTTTTTGGAAACTTTTTTCGAGCCACGTACAAAATCTTCATACTTTCTTTTTTGCCGGTACGTGTAACATAATGAATAACAATTAACAGAAAATATATAACATTGCTCACAATAAATGCTCACATAATTAATGGCCACTTTATATGTACCTGCATTTTATCAACTTCTGACAATTTATGAAAGTGTGAACGTTTTTTACTTACTTAATGGTGAATGATATATGAATACAACACTACAATGAAAATGGAAAGCTTTTATATAATTTATGTAATTATTCACTTTGTTCATTTGTCTACATTAAATTATATTGTATTGACTTTGCACAGAGATGACAAAAAATTTTAAACATTATACATATTATAGAAAAAATTGACAAAAAATTATGTTTATTTAAATTAATTGCAATTTCCTCCGAATAATAAGTTGGATATACAGCAATTGTACATGTTATATGCTTAATTAGATGTAATTTTCCATTTGTTGACAGTGCTGGTTCTGAATTAACTTTTGTTGCTGTTAACACCAATTGTCACTTTGCTTGCGTTTATGTATGATTAATTAATACTATTAATATGGTTATGTACAAACTTGCTTTCACGACAATGCTTATCCAACATACAGAAAATTGGCCGCAAAGATGTCCTCGAAATACAAGATATTTGGTAGCCTCAGTATGAGGCAAAAAAGGAGGCGGTTATTTTCCATTCAACATCATGTAGAAGACTCTCAAGTACAGGAATTGGATGGTTCTCTATCAGATGAAATTTTAGAGAACGATGAACCATTGCGAATTCAGCCATTACATCCTGCTTTATTTGTCGATGGAGACAATGTTCAGACTAATGAGCAAAAAACTGGTGAAAAGGAACAGCGTTTTAACAGAGATGAGGAAGTGGAAAGCAATGAAGAGGAAGTAGGAAATATTAGTGAAAATAATGACGAAATAGAGGGCGGTAATGTTGATGAATATTATATGGACGAAGAAAATAATACATCCAGCTCTTCGGAAAATGAAGATAATCATATACCAGAAAACCGACATGATTTGAGAAAGAGGGCATTGAAAAATGCTTTTTTAGCGGCAAATATTAAACATACACAAGGCAATATACTACTAAAAATATTAAGGGAGCACCCATTTAACCTGGGTTTTCTGCCAAAAAATGTAAGAACATTACTACAAACCCCCACTGCTCCCGCTATTGCACATGTGCAACGAATACCTGGAGAAGAATACCTGCATATAGGATTGAAGTATATTCTTAAAAAGAAATTGGAAAACTTTACTGCAGAAATGTTGCCAGAGAGCGTGGAAATAGATTTCAGCACTGATGGAGCTCAACTGAGTAACAGTGGCACTTTTCAGTTTTGGCCCATCCAATTCCGAGTTGTTAATTGCACTGACAAAAGGCCCATGATAGCCGGAGTATTTAAAGGTCAACAAAAACCACTCAATCCATTTGATTTTTTTGAAAAATTTATTGAGGAAATTTTGACTATCCGTGCAGAAGGTGGAATAATTATACGCAATCGACGGCTACCACTGCATATTCGGTCTTTTATTGCTGACGCACCTGCGAGGGCTATGGTTTTAAATCATTATGGTCACATGTCGGCAAATGCATGCTCCAAATGTAAAGTCGAAGGCTATCGCTGCGAAGAAGTAGGATATCAGGGAATAATGGTTTTTCCAGGAATTCGACATTCTTTAAGAACAAATGAA